AAAGAAAAAAGCCGGAAGTGGCGCTGTGGCTCAAGTGGTAGAGCACTAGCCTTGAGCTGAAGAGCTGAGGGACAGCGCCCAGGCCCAGAGTTCAGGCTCCAGGACCAGACCCCCCCCCCCAAAAAAAAAGAAAAAAAGAGTCTCATGGACTGTCCTTACCTGGGCTGGCTTCGAACCACAATCCTCAGATCTTAGCCTCCTAAGGAGCTAGGATGACAGGCGTGAGCCACCAGCACATGGCCTCAGAGCCTTTTTTGGACCAAAAGACATTTGTCCCCAACTCAGCCTGTCCCAGCTGCAGCGTCTCACTGGCTCTGGACCCAAACACTGCTGTTCAGGGCAGCTAGGATGGACTTAAAACCAGAGCATGCTGGTGCCAGTGCTCATTCCTGTAATTTGAACTACTCAGGAGGCTGGGTTTGAGGATCATGGTTCAAAGCCAGCTTGGACAGGAAAGTCTGTGAGATTCTCATCTCCAATTAACCACCAAAAAGCCCAAATTGGAACTGTGGTAGAGTGCTAGTCTTAAGCAAAAAATGCTCAGGGACAGCGCCCAGGCCCTGAGTTCAAGTACTGACCACCCCCACCCAAGAAAAACACACAAAACAACTCTGTATCATGGTACCCGGATACGGCTGGTCTCTGGTTTAGGCAGGATGTAGATAAAAAAAAAAAATTGTTTCATCAGGCACAGTGGCTCAAGCCTACAATTCGAATTATGTGGGAGATAGAAATCAGAGGATTGTGGTTTGAGGCCAGCCTGGGTGAAACGTTGGTGAGACTCCCTCCCTCAATGGCTGGACGCAGTGGGACATGCTTGTCACCCCAGCCACATGGGTGGCTCGGTGGCAGCACTGCGGGACGGGGAAGCACTCACGGGAGGCCACAGTCTAGGTCAACCCAGGCACAAAGCAAGACCCTGCCTGGAAAACCAGCCAGCGCTGCCTAGCCAAGATCCAAACCCCAGTACTGCCAAAGGGGTGACAAAAATGATGATGGCGATGAGGATGGTGATGAGGATGATGATGATGATGATGATGGTGAGGAGGAGGAGGAGGATGGTGATGAGGATGATGGTGGTGATGAGGATGGTGAGGAGGAGGAGGAGGATGGTGATGAGGATGATGATGGTGATGGTGAGGAGGAGGAGGAGGATGGTGATGAGGATGATGATGGTGATGAGGATGATGAGGAGGAGGAGGAGGATGGTGATGATGAGGAGGAGGAGGAGGATGGTGATGATGGTGATGAAGAGGAGGATGATGATGGTGGTGATGAGGAGGAGGAGGAGGATGATGATGATGGGGGTCCTGGGGTTTCACTCCCCATTCATTCCAGCAGCCCTGGGCCAGCTCGGTCATCACCCAGGTGCTTCTATGGCTTCTGTGAGGCGCAGGGCCCTGGGAGTGGGGGAGGGGGGCTGGAAGGAAAGGGGCGACCTTGGGCATTGGGAGGAGGCTGGTGGCCAAGGCCTGGGCTGGAAATCCCTGGACAGACTGAGCCGGTGAGCATCTGTTTTGTGCTGACCACGTAGAAAGTGAGTGGAATAAATGACGTTTGAATGAATGAATGAATGAATGAAGACAGGCTTGGCAACTCCTCCCTGAGCCCATATGAGCCCAGGGCCCGGGCTGAGCTGTCCTTGCTGGGACTGGGGTTGGGGTTCAAGCAGACAGAGTTCTCAGATGGGGGGGAGGGGCCGTGGCTCCTCCCACTTCCGGCCACTGGATGGCCATGGCAGAGAGCACCAGGCCCTCCTCCGATCATCTTGGCATCCCTCTGCTCACGCCTCGCCCACAGTTCCTTCTCACCCTGTCTCCTGTTTTTCCCTTGACTGCTCTACTCTTTCCTTTGGATTCCGGGGCCTCCCCACTTCCCCAGCTGCTATTACCCTGAAGAGCTGGTCACCGGGTGGGTATCGCCTGCTGTGTGCCTGCTCCCCGCTGTGCAGATGGGGGCACCCGGGCTGCATGGTCCCATGCCCAGCGCGTAGCAGTCAGGGAGGAACCTGGCCCAGGGAGATGACAGATGGGAAAGATGGGGAGAGGGGGGCCTGGGGACACCCGAGAAGTACCAGGCAGAAGACCCAGAGAGCTGGAGGCAGAGGGAAGGCCCACTGGAGGAGGCTTGCCCCAAGAGACGGGAAGCTCAAAGCCACGCCTCTCCAGGAGGGCGGGGCAGGCTGAGGGCAGAATTTACATTCCCTCCCAGGGGACCTAGAAATCCCTAGTGGGTCCAGGTGAAGGGAGAAGAAGGCACCCTGTGGGCCGCTGTTCCAGACATCCAGGAGGCCTGTAGGAAGTAGTCCATCCGGGACCTTGATGTCCCCCAGTTGTGCTACCCCCTCACTACATCCTCCCATCACACCCCAACTCTATTCTGCCTCCCTGGCCTGGGACTCCCACTGCCCTGAACCTGCACACAGGGCCTGTGAGCCTCACTCATTTTCTTGAGGCAGGAAGATCAAAAGTTCCAGGCCAGCCTTGAGTTCCATAGCAAGAACTGGTCTCAAGAAAACATGCATCTGGGGCTGGGAAGGTGACTCAGAGGTAGAGCGCTTGCCTTGCATGCCTGAGGCCCTAAGTTCGATTCCTCAGCACCACATAAGCAGAAAAAAAAAAGCTGGAAGTGGCGCTGTGGCTCAAGTGGTAGAGCGCTCGCCTTGAGCTGAAGAGCTGAGGGACAGCGCCCAGGCCCAGAGTTCAGGCCCCACGACCGGACCCCCCCCAAAAAAAAAAAAAAGAAAACATGCATGCGCACGCATGAGCACACACACTCACTCTGCTTTATCCAAGAGTCAACTTTGAAGGCCCCACCCCAGAGTCAGGTAGCAGCTTTGCTTAATCTCATATTGTTCTGATACTGTATCCAGCTAAAGCTGTAAGAAAAGGAAATATAATGGCCAAGCTGGGCGCCTATGGCTCAAGCCTGTCATCCTAGCTACTCAGGAGGCTGAGATCTGAGGATCGAGGTTCAAAGTCAGCCCGGGCAGGAAAGTCCATGAGACTCGTATCTCCTATAAGCCACTAGAAAACTGGAAGTGGCGCTGTGAAGTGGTAGAGTGCTTGCCTTGAGCTGAAAAGCTGAGGGACAGCGTCCAAGCCAGAGTTCAGGCCACACGACTGGAGACAATATATATATATATATGGCCAAATAGTAGGAGTTAGCACGCAGTGATGTGATTGCTGGAGCAGAAAAATGTATTAGGACCAGGGCCAGGCACGGTGGCACATGCCTGCAGTCCTGGCACTGAGGCAGAGAGAAGCTGAGACATAAGGACAGAGTTTCAGGCCAGCCCCAGCAAGACCTTGTTTCAGAAAAGGGGGGCGGGGGAGAAAAGGAAAAAAAGGAGACCCCATACTGCTAGGTACACAGATAAAGTGGTAACCTTCATTTATCTGCACAACCTACACTCCAGCCATGAAGGAGGATGGATGAAGAGGAGGGGGCGTGGCCTGTCTGGGGGCGTGGCTCCGTGGCGGAGCGCTTGCCTAGCATGTGCATGGTCCTGCATTTCATCCTCTGCACTCCAAAAGAAAAAGGAAGAAGGGTGGAAAGATGGAAGACTGCAAACAAGAAACTTGTAGAAACTCTGGTTTTAACCCCGGCAGTTGGCAGATGTGTGGTGTTTTCTGGCCAGTGGCTGTGCTACGGTTGATCTCCGCCACTCGCTTGACAGCCTTGTGTTAGAGCTGCTCTCAGCCTGGCACTGGGGTCAGAGACGGATGATCGGGACTCAGGTGTCGGGGGGTCAGCTGGCCCTGCACCTTCAGGGCCGCCAACCCCCCCCCCCCGAAGCACCAGCCTTTGTTGACTTGCACAGACAACCTAAAATCTCAGCTTAGCCAGATCTGCTCTCGCCTTCCACGTGCCCAGGCTGTTTGCCTCAGACCCCGCGTTGCATGCAAGAGCCATCTGCCTCTGTCCATACCGGGTCACTGGGTTCCCCCCGGGAAAGAACCCCAGCCCATGCCACCGGGGCCCCAGGCCCCCATCACGCCCACCTCTCATCTCAATGCACCCTTTCTCTGCTTTGATTTCAGTGCCCAGCAAAGGAGCACACAACTGAACAAGAAGAGAGCCATCCCAAACCAGGTAGCTGCCCGGTTGTGTCCTCCCCCCGCCCCCACTCTACCCTAGGGGCGGGAGGGCCGTAGGGGTGACCAGCAACCTCCCCCCCCATCTTGGCATGGGCAATGCCTTACTAGGAGCCAACACCCTAGGACCAGGCCGTCCACTGACAGCCTCAGGATTCCATGTTGATGTCCACGTTTCTGGAACATGCTGGCACTCTGGTAGCCTGGGGTGGGGGGAGAGGGGATTTCACAGAGGCTGACGTCAGAACTTGCTCTTCGAAGCGGAAGTGTCAAGGTTCTGCAAGGAAATCGGGTTTCCCAGTCTCTGCCCGTAGATGGCGCCACGTGAGGTTCGTGGCCCGTCAGCTCAGGGAAGGCTGGGTGGGTCGCACCCCACACCTGCCGCCCTGATGTCTGACCCCACCAGAGGCCTAGTAACGGCTTTATACATGCCGGTGTTCGATTTTTTTTTTTTTTTAAAAAAGAGAACACATCAGCTTTGCAAAATTTCTACCACTGTTCCCTCCCCTCCCCCCACCCTTCTCCACATCAGGCCCCGTGCGGTGGGGGCTGAGGCTGGCTGTCTTATCTTGCACGATTCTAGAGCCAGATAGAAAAGAGAATGTAACCGCTGCATGATTGTTTTGTTGTTTTATTGGGGTTTTTTTTTTTTGCTTGCCTAGGTAATAATGTACATTGTTGCTTTTTCTTTAATTTTGTGAGATGATAATGAATTAAATATTAACACCATGAATATAATTAATAGCATGTAATTTTTTTTCTTTTGCTGTTTTTTTTCTCCCTGCTCTCCTCTTCTCCCATTATTGTGCTTTTTCCTGCTTTTTCTCCGTCCCCTCATGTCCCCTTCATCTCTTTTCCTCCTACTCTGCCTTGATTTACCCACAACCCTAACTTTGCATTCTCAAAGGGGGAGATCTTGGTAAGTACCTGCTTAGTGTGGTAGCAAACCTTAGAGATTTCCAGTAGTGACAGAGGCCCTGCCTACCCTGTAAGAGTCTCTTTCCCCCAAAAAATAACCAAAAAAGACCATTTCGAAACAATCAAACTAACCTGAACGTCTGTCAAATTTATGCATTGCCCTGGTTGTCTGTTGCTCTCATAAAAAATGCTAACCTTACCGCCATGTTTGTGGAAGGCCCTGTCCTCTAGCTGGTTCCTGTAGGCTCAGCCTTGGTGTCCTGTAGTTGAGGGGTGGCAGCCACGCAGCAGACACTGCCCCTGCTTCCCCTTTGCCCCCTGGCCAGGAAGCTCAAGCTCTACTGGACTTCATTTTTACCACTGCCTCTCCTTCCAACTCCAGTGCAGACATCACTCGCCGATCACAGCATGATTTTCATATACAGAATTTGCTCTTTTTCCCCCTGTGCTCCTGGCAGTCAAGGCTAATGGACTCAGTACTTTCCCCCTTGTGCTGTTCTTCCATTGCACAGCCCTGGCAGGCGTTGCTAATCAATCCTAGCATTCTTTACTCATAAGCCTGTCACCGTTCCCCAGTCTGTGGCCAGTGTTGACTAACTGATTGAGGTATTTTTTTCCCCTCCCCTGTGATGTTCCCTGCTGTATCCATGGCAGGCATAACTAATCAATCAGACCTTTCCCCCCACCCACCCCTTGGATACTGTCACTAGCCTCTCTCCTCCATGGCAGATAAGGGACTTGGTGAGGCTGTCCTGTTGTGCCTTCTCCCTCCCATTATCTTTTGCCAAGGACAGACATCACTAATTGAGCCTAGCTTTTTTTTTTTTTCTTGCCATGTCCCTCATTTTTACCACTGTGCTCTGGGCATCTTCTCCCAGGTCAGCTGGTGAGGCCCTTGAAGGTGTGTTGTATTGGCCAACGCTTCTTTGTGTGAGGCCAAGTGGCCAGCCATCTTTTAGCCCATCTGAGGTGTACCCCAAAAACAGCCCTCAGAGAGGCCCCTTTGTCCAAGACATCCTGTCAGTGCCAGCTGCTGAGGACTGGGCAGCCCTACCCCCGGCCCCCGGCCCCCGTCAGACCTTCTGGGAGCTCCGGGATCTTCTCAGGAGCTGAGCCAGTTCTGTGCCAGGGCCTTGGTGTGTCTGGATCGCAGTGGGTACTGATAGGGTCTAAGCACCAGCGGGCTGGGCCGGCAGGCGGATGGACGGCATCGCTCTGCCTCAGGCTTTTTTCCCTCCCCTAGAGCCCCTTGAACTTGAACTGTCGCCTCCAGCAAACAGGCCAGACCCAGATAGACCATTCTTTTCCTCCAGGATTCCCCACCCTGGCCACAAAGCCATGAGTGCAGCAGGGTGGGGGGATGTGGGGGGCCATGTTTTCCATCCTTGACCAGGACCCTCACCCTTGCCCTGCCTGCTTCCTGCCTGTTGCTCACGCTGCCCCAGGCTGGTCTTCCTCCCGCATGCCTTTCCTGACCTCCCCGAGAAGCCCTGAGCCCTGCCCACCCCCAGCCCGCCTCCCCAGCTTCCTCCCTAGCCCAGGCCCCCAACCTACTGCTCCCCAGGAAGGAGCGGTACCCCTCCCACAGGCAGCTCCCTAAATGGCTTAAAGGGGCCTGTCCCGCACCCTAAAGCCTGAGCAGCAGGCTGTGAATGCCCCCTAGGCCCAGATAAAGCCAGGCCTCCAAGGGCCGGTCAGGCTGGCTGCACCACGCAGTGCCCATCTCAGCCTTCACGGCTACAGCCTTTGTCACCAGGAAGCCCCCACCCTCAGTGGAAGGACAGAGCGTGGGGGGAGGGGGGCTACTATGCAGAGTTGCTGGGGGAGCGGGGGGGGGGGGGGACAACAGGTTAAGTAAGCAAAGTGAAGCTCTTCCTGCCAAGAAGACATCCCAGCCCCAGACTGACCCCTGGAGGCCCCAGCCCAGCAGCTGGGGGGGGGGGGGGATTGAACGCCAGCTGTTCCCAGCTGTCCTGGCCACACACAGACTACAGGCTGCCCTGCCTGTGCTTCCCACTCCCCCCCCCCCCCCCCACGCCATCCCCAGTCTAGAGTGGGGAAGGATCTGATCCCCCCCCCCTCAGGCTACCTATAACTAGCTTTCAGGTGAGTCCCAGGATAGGCCTGGCTTTTGCCTCCACGCTGGTGACAGTCATGTCAAGCCCCCCAGGGGGCCTCCGAGCCTCCCACTTATCCTCACCCCTCATGGCTCCTTTAGAGTCTTCTAGGCTGCCATCTTTGGCCCCCTTTTCCCAGGTAGGAGGGGGTTACCCAGGCCCTGATAATGCAGAGTGAAGGTAACAGGCAAAGCTGTGATGGGGGGGGGGGGCATTTATTACTCTGTTCCAAAAGCAAGGCAAGAAAGACCCAATATAAGCCAGGCACTGTAGCTGGAATCCTAGCTGCTCAGGAGGTTGAGATCTGACGGTGGCAGGTTCAAAGCCAGCCTGAATAATAAACTATTCAAAAAAGAAAAACTGGAAGTAGAGCTGTGGCTAGCCTTGAGCAAAAAGAAAGAAGCTCAGGGACCCCCACTGGGCCCCAGGCCCTGAGTTCAAGCCCCAGGGCTGGCACACACCAACCAGCCACCATTTAACAACTTGGGTGACCCCTCAGTGACTGCCATCTTCAGGTCATGTCCAGTGGCACGGAGGGCTCAGCCAGAGGAATGCAGTTCCTCACAAGCACGCGTCCCCCGCCCCCAGGCCCCTTCCCGGGGTCCCCTCCAGCAGGCAAGCATCTGCTTCGCCTCTGCGTAGATAGAGCCAGCCCTCAGCACAGAGGAGCACCCACAGGGTGCCAGGGACCTGCTGTCTGTCTGTGTGTCTTGTCTGCACACCTACCCACGCGTCTTCCAGGTTTCCAACTGGGCATGCTTGGGGCGAGGCGGGTATGTGGCTTGGAGCTGTGTGCCACCGTCCCTGGCTTCTCGCCTGGCTGTGGGGGGTGAGGGCTCGGGTCGCTGTGCTGGAGGGGGTGGCCAGGCAGCAGGGTGCCATCCCCCACTAAAGCACATCGTCCCCTCCAGGTGATCCGCAGGGGCTGGCTCACAATCAACAACATCAGCTTGATGAAGGGGGGCTCTAAGGAGTACTGGTTTGTGCTGACGGCCGAATCGCTGTCCTGGTACAAGGACGAAGAGGTGAGTGGAGATGGGCAGGGTTGAGTGTAGTGGCACCCACCCATCATCTCAGCATGTGAGAGGCTGTGGCAGGAAGATCTAGAGGGCAAGGGAAGCCTGGGCCGCCGTGTGAGCCCAGGCCAGGCAGGGCACGTGCCCTCTGGCCACTGGCCCAACCTCTGCCCTGACAGGGTAGCTGTGTAACTTCAGTGAAAGCCACACTTCTTTGGGATGACAGCTTGTTGTTCCTCACATCACCCACAGGGGGCGCTGTTGCCCTGTAAACTGTCCACCTGGGCTGCATTGGAGCGGGCTGTGGGCACTTAGGCTCCTCCTCCAATCCCCGGGAGCCTGGTGACCTGGTGGTCCCCGGCTGCAAGGCTACCCAGTGCCCAAGCTCCACCTGGCCTGCCACCACCATGACCCGTGAACTCGCCTGCACAGTCCATGTATGAGTCCCCGATCACACAGCTGCTGTGGGGGGGGGGGCCGGGCACCCCACTAACAGAAGGGAGTGGGTGTGGACGATTTCAGAGCTGAGAGCTCGGGGCGGGCAGTAATGGCTTTCCAAGCTCTAGGGCAGGTGATCAGGCTCCTGGCACGCACTCGGTCGCTTGTCCTGCTGGTCACCTCCATTCATTCCCCCTGACGTGGAGAGAGCACCTCACCGTGCACGGTTAGAGAGTTGGGGTTCAGAGGCAGGGCCCTAGGGTCCTGGGCCAGCTCTGGGGTGTGGCATGGTGCTGGGTGAGCTGGAGCATTTAGTCAGTCGTGGGGCTTGAACTCTGGGCCTGGGCGCTGTCCCTCAGCTCTTCAGCTCAAGGCCAGCGCTAAACCTCTAGAGCCACAGCGCCGCCACTTCTGGTTTTCTGCTGGTTCACTGGAGATGAGTCTCACGGACTTTCCTACCTGGGCTGGCTTTGAACCTAGATCCTCAGATCTCAGCCTCCTGAGGGGCTGGGATTACAGGCGTGAGCCCCAGCGCCCGGCGTCTGGTTACTTCTAAAGCCATCTCACCCAGATCTGTCCCTCAGGGTTTAGGAGAGCGCTGTGCTGGAGACCCAGGCCCAGCCTGTGTCCTTGCGGCTCCCCTCAGAGCAAGGTAACTGTGCTTCATCATGGCCCCCAGGAAGGAGCAGGCCTTGGGAAGCCGGCAAGAGTGACCTCAACTCTCCGATTGTAAACACCTTCAGGCCTGCCTGGGGGCTGGGGCCACCCCCCCTTTCCTACCCCCACCCCCACCCAGCAGTGGTGGCTTGTCTTAGGTCATGGAACTGAGGCTGGGCCCCTCCCCCACCCAGGCTGATGTGATTAGGGGAGGGGCGGGGCTTGGGGGTCTTTCCCCTCTCCAAATCAGGCCACAGACTCATCCTGGCTAGGAACAGATGCCCAAGGGGCGGCCCCATGGGGGTCCTTCTGAAGTCCGGGTTTGGGGTGAGCATTTTTCAAGGGATTCTAGGTGGCCTCAGCCTCCCCCAGGAAGCTCTGATCGCCTTCTCCTGGAGGCTCCAAATGGTCTGGGTGACCCAGTGGGTGCGGCTTCGCCTTTGTCCCCACAGCCCTGGGCTTGGGTGCCTCTGGGGCGACGGCCCAGAGCCCCAGGCCTCTGGGGGACCCAAGCCTATTTGTTCTGTGTCATGTCAGCTGTCCTCCAGGTGGGACTCCAAGATGGAGAATCTCTGAAGGGGTTTTGTGTTGGTTCTGGGGGCTGGTCCATGGGCTTGCACTCAGGGCCTGGGCACTGGCCCTGAGCTTTTGTGCTCAAGGCCAGCGCTCTACCACTTGAGTCACAGCTCCACTTCCAGTTTTTTGGTGACTCATTGGAGATGAGCTTCTCATGGACTTGCCTGCCTGGGCTGGCTTTGAACCACGATCCTCAGATCTGAGCCTCCTGAGTGACTAGGATTACAGGCGTGAGCCACCCGTTCCTGGCCCTCGGCTTTGTCTCTAGCACACAGAAAAAACCAAAGGCGGTTCCACTCTTGATTTTTGGTGGCTCAGGGGTTTGGAGCCTGGGAAGGTGGCTCTGTGCTAGCCTTGAGCTGAAGAGCTGAGGAACAGCACCCAGGCCCAGAGTCAGGCCCCACAATCGACCAAAAACAGGGGAAGATCGGCTTGCCCTCCCCCCAAGCCCAGTCTTAGGAGTTTCTCTTCTGTGCCCAGGGTGGTTCCCATTATCTACGGATCAAAAACAGGACCTTGACTCTCACTCGGGACCCCAGACCAGAGGCGCAGCCCCCGCCCCCCAGCATAGCCAGATCCTGAAAGGGGCCCTGTGTGTACCCCACACACAAAGCAGGCCGAGATCATGAGAGGCCATGGTCTCCCCCACCACATTGCCTGCCTGCGGGGAGCCCTAACCCCCCCGCCCCCCAGGGGCCAAGCGGCCTTGGCCAAGAAGCCAGGGAGAGAGGCAAGACAGCAGGATTTCTTTATTTCAGAAATGGACACGAGGACATTTCCATCTACAGGGCAGGGTGAGGGGGTTCCCCCCCCCGCCCCAGGCCTCGAGGCCTTCACCCTCTGCCTCTCCTTCCCACCCAAGCCTTTTGGGGCCAGTCTTCACCCCAGTTGGAAAGGGGGTCATGCAAGATGCCACTTACCTCTGTCTGGGGTCAGCCTGGCTTGGGGGGGGAAATGCCAGGAAGGGGCTGGTGGCGAGGGCGAGGGGGGGTCCCATTCTGATGTGCGTGCCGACCCAGCCTAACCAGTGTGCAGACTACTGTACACATCACAGCCGCCTGAACAGGTAGTCTGAACACTGGGATGGCGAGGCCAGCTGTCTGTCTGTCCGTCTGTCTGTCCCTGGGTTCCCCGGGGTGGTCCTCATGCAGGCGTGGAAGCCGCTGCTGCTCCAGCCGCCACCGCTGCGTCCATCGTCCATCGTCTCGTCTGACGTGGCGGGGCGGGCAGGCGGGCGCTCGCATCTGGAGAAAGTTGTAGATTTTCAGGAAATCCAAAGGCGGCAGGGGAGGGGGGGAGGGGAGGAGGGTGGGCCGGAGGGGAAGGGATGGGGAGGGGTTGGGGTCGGTGGGTGGCCTCTGCCCAGGAGGAGGACCTGGGGGAGGGCGGGGGTCGGAGTGGGAGGAGGGGTGGTGTATGCCTGCCTGTGTGTCTGTGTGCGTGTTTGTGCGCCTGTGTGCACGCGCGTGTGTGTGTGTGCCTGCACGTGTGCATGCCTGTGTGTGTCTGTGTTTGTGCGCACACGCTATGTCAGGCTCATGGGCCCGGGGCCGCAGGAAGGCAGCCGCAGCCGCGTCCTGGGCGGAATTACACTATAAACATTTCCAGATGTGGCGTCTCTGCTCGGGTCTGGATAGATGGCCTGTGACTCAGTGCCTTGGCCTAGCCGGCTGCTGGAAGCTTCCTCCCCCATGACACCACAGGGTGGGGGCAGCTGAGGCCCCTCAGCTCACTTCCAGGCTGCCGGGAGACTGGGGTGAGGGGGTGGGGGCGCTCCTGACAAGGCCCCTGGCTTGTTCTAAAGCGTCCCCCCCCAAGTCCTCCCCCCCAGAGGTGGGTGGGACCAGGCCCTGCATTCCACCACTGAGCGGGCGTCTGGCTGCCTTTCTTGGCAGGGCCCCCTCCCCTTGGGCTCCCCGGCTCCAGCTTGCACTTGGGCACGAATAGTCCTTCCACCATTGGCTGCCTGGCCCTGGGCCTGAGCTCTGCCCTGGTGCTTGCCCAGTCTAGAAAGCTGATGAGCCTGGAGCCGGTTTTAAGAGCCACAATAGAAAGTTCCTGAGAAGCAGGCACCAGGGTATAGGTTTGTAACTCCAGCAATCAGGAGGATCACAAATTCGAGGCCAGCCCGACTCCACAGTAAGACACTATGTAAAAAAAAATAAAATAAAAGTTGGGTGCTGATGGCTCACGCCTGTCATCCTAACTACCCAGGAGGCTGAGATCTGAGGATCATGGTTCAAAGCCAGCCTGGGCAAGAAAGTCCACGAGACTCTTATTTCCAATAAACCACTAGAAAACCAGAAGTGGCACTGTGGCTCAAGTGGTAGAGCGCTCTCCTTGAGCTGAAGACCTGAGAGACAGCTCCCAGGCCCAGAGTTCAAGCCCCATGACCAACAAAAAATGAAGGAAGAAGGAAGGGAGGGAGGGAAAACAGAAAAGTAGCTGGGCTCCAGTGCCTCAGGCCTGTAATCCTAGCTATTCACGAGGCTGAGATCTTAGGGTCGTAGTTTGAAGCCAATGAAACTCTTCTCTCTATTTAGCTACCAAAAGGCCACAAGGGGAGCTGTGGCTCACATGGTTGAGCGCCAGACTCCAGCACAAAACAGGGCCTGTTGGCACTGGCTCTGTAGTCAGCAGTCCCCACCTCCCATCCCAGGGTTGAAAGTGGTCCTCATTGACAGGCGGGGAAATTAAGGCACAGAGTAGGAAGGCTGTCCAGAGTCTGGCCTTATCCAGCCACCCGCATGCCCCTGGCACCCTGCCCCTCCATGACAGAGGTCGCTCAGAGGTTCACACTGTCCGCCTCCCCCTCTGGGTGCAGTGTCACCCCAAGTCTTCAGGAGTGGGTGCTGAGCATGCAGCCAGAGCTGCAGCTGCTCAGACTCCAGTGGAGAGGCAACTTGCGGCTTCCTGATCTAGGGTGGGGCGTGGCCCGGTGGGGGCGTGGTTGTGCTGGGGCGTGGCCTGCTGGCTGGGGGCGTGGCTCGATCCTAGAGCACCAAACTAGCCAGTTGGAGACACAGTTCCGTCCCCAGTATTGAACCAGAATGCTTTCCAGTACTCTGGAATTGTCTGAAGAAGTTGAGTCTTACCCCTGCCTCCACTTGCCCCTCTGTGCCTCAGTCTCCCTCCTGGTAAACTCACTCCCAGACTCCATATGCTCAGCTGGGAGGGAGGCCACCCCACGGCTGTATTCTGTGCACAGAGTGGGCCGTTCTGACACTGGCGGGCCAGGTCTACAGTGAACAAATTTGTATGAGCATCCCTGGCTTCCAGAATCTTCCAAGTCAATACAGCTGGCTGTGGCATGGGCCACTAAGAGCAAGATATATCGTGGTCCAGAGTGCGGTCTCTTCTGCACCCGAGGCTGGCAAGGAGGGAGCCCTGTGGACCCTGGAGAAAGACGCTCTAAGCGGATAGCCTAGATGTGCAAAGGCCCTGGGGCGGGAAGCCTGTGGCTAGCACCAGTCTTGGGCTAGTCCTTGCTGTGCCCTCCAGCCTGGAACTGTGACACCCTCCCGCTCCCCCCCTCAGGAAAAGGAGAAAAAGTACATGCTGCCTCTGGACAACCTCAAAATCCGCGATGTGGAAAAGGGCTTCATGTCTAACAAGCACGTGTTCGCCATCTTCAACACGGAGCAGAGGTGAGCGCCCCCTGGAGGCCTGGGGGACCCTGTGCAGACCCCACGTTCTCGAAAGGGCGACCCAGCCACGTGTGGTGACACACGCCTGTCCTCCCAGCTGCGTGGGAAGTGTGAAAAAGTGGAGGGCACCATGGGCCTCGCGGGCGCCCTCTGGTGGCCCTGGGGAGGAACAGCTTGTGGAGGGACTGGGCTGGCCTGGGGGAGAGGGGGGCGCAGGGTGGGGTCTGCCAGATGAGCCAGTTCCTCCTAGAGAGGGGTGAGGGCTTGGGCCTGTGGCTCTGGGGGACTCGGTGGGGACGGCAGGCAGTGGGTGTGGGGCAGGCAGGGGTAGTCCTGAAGAAGCACTGAGGGCTGGGTGGAGGTCTGGCCTGGTATGTGTGAGGCCCTGGGATCCATCAGCACGGGAAGAAAATGTTTAACAGCTAGACACCAGGCCGGGTCATCCTAGCTACTCAGGAGGCTGAGATCTGAGGATCAGGGTCCAAAGCCAGCCTGGGCAGGAAAGTCTGTGAGACTTATCTCCAGTGAACCACCAGCAAAGCCAAAAGCAGAGCTGTGGCTCAAGTGGTAGAGCGCCAGCCCTGGGCACCAGCGCTCAGGCACAGCGCCCAGTCCCTGAGTTCAAGCCCCAGGACTGACACACAGAAAAAGGAAAAGCAGTTTGCACCCAGTGTGGTGGAGCACACAGAGGCGCAGGCTGAAGGATGGAGAGTTCTAGACCAGCCCAGGGTACCTAGTGACGCCTTGCCCCTCCCCCCAAAAAAGCAGGGTGCATGCCTCCTGGGGCGCAGGGCTGCCACGTGGGCGGAGAGCACTGCTGCAGACCTGGGTTGGAGAGGTGCATCGGGACACGCGCAGGGCTTGCTGGGAGGCTTTGGCCCCCGGTGCTGCAGTGGGCACACGTTCCATCCCGGGAGCCCGGGGTGGGAGGGACAGAGCCCCGGGCCCAAGGTCCCGATCTCCCCGCCAGGAATGTCTACAAGGACCTGCGACAGATCGAGCTGGCTTGCGACTCCCAGGAAGATGTGGACAGCTGGAAGGCCTCATTCCTGAGAGCCGGGGTCTACCCCGAGAAGGACCAGGCAAGGAGGGATGCTGGGAAGGCCATGGCAGGGTGTCATGAGAATCCAGAAAGTTCTGCAGCTAAAGCCCTGACCTGGGAGGAGGGGGGGAGGGGGACTGTGTCCCAGGCCCCCTGGCGCCACCTGCCCCCCTCACCGTGCGTGGTCCCCTTGCAGGCTGAGAGCGAGGACGGAGCTCAGGAGAACACGTTCTCCATGGACCCGCAGCTGGAGCGGCAGGTGGAGACCATCCGCAACCTGGTGGACTCGTACGTGGCCATCATCAACAAGTCCATCCGCGACCTCATGCCAAAGACCATCATGCATCTCATGATCAACAACGTGAGTGTGTCCCCACCCAGCCTGGCCTCGGGGACACTGAGCGGGCTCCTGGCCCTGTTCAATAAGGTCATCGCAGCCATCACCACGGAGAGACGTGCGCACTTCATCACAGTCAGTGTTTGGCGGCCAGGCTTTGAACTCAAAGACCTCGGGCTCTCACTCAGTTTACTTGCTTAGGCTGGTGCTCTACCACTTGAGCCATGCCTCCAGTCCAGTTTTTTTTGACTGGTTAATTAGAAGATGGTGTCTTGCAGACTTCTGCCTCGAATTGTAATCCTCCAGATCTCAGCCTCCTGGCTGAGGAATCACTTGAGGAAGAGCTAAATGTGGTGATTTGTGCATTCTCCCCCCCCCC